CTAATGTGGTGTTGAGGTATGTTAAAAAATAAGTTGGACTTTTATTAAATATAATTCTAGCCACCCTTTTCCAGAAAATATTTTCTCAAGTCTAAGTGGTGTTCTTTTAGGATTTTTAGCTCACCCTTCATGCATCAATTCAGAGGTAGCAGAGTTAGAAATAAGTAAGTTCATAGTGCATGTTTTAATGACCTTAGTGGACTCTAAAATCTGTACACGCAATTTAAGAATATAATACAGAAGATATTTTAAATGATAGAGACTTCCTTAATTAAGTTAGCGTGTTAAATTAACACTATAATATTAGTCTATTTCTTAAGAAAACCAGCAAGTACCTCCAGTTATTGAGTATGGTGTCAGTATTATGTTTGCTACATTGTAATTAAATCCTGGAACAGAAATCTGAGATGACCAGTAACACAACCAAAACTTCCTCCTGATGAAGTACTGGGAACTGGTGTCACCCAAACAGACTTTTTTTGTTCATCCAACATAGCATAATATCAAAGTTAATTTCAGTTATATGTATTTAAGTTTGTTGAAGCCTTTAAATATACAGTCTTGTTCCTTGTTGTTTAACCATTATGTTTTTAAATGTTGTTTAATTATTACAGCAAAATTAGGTTTTAGTTTCAGTTGAACTTTGTTATTGTTTAACCTTTGAAGTCAAGACTCTTGGTGTTTAACCTTGTTAGTCTAGACATTTTCTGTTTTACCTTGTTGGTCTAGACACTTGATTAATTTTACAAGTGCAGGTATTTTGAATCGGGTTGAAATATAAATGCAATACCTGGATAAAATAAAGGTCTATAATGCTATTGGATAATGGTGATAGTGTGTATGATTTGATTATTTGGCAAACAGAAACAAAACGAGTATTAACTCCAGGTATTGAGTATGATGTCAGTGGTCTGTGTACTAGCCCCAGGTATTGAGTACGGTGTCAGTGGTCTGTGTACTAGACCCAGGTATTGAGTATGATGTCAGTGGTCTGTGTACTAGCCCCAGGTATTGAGTACGGTGTCAGTAGTCTGTGTACTAGACCCAGGTATTGAGTACGATGTTAGTGGTCTGTGTACTAGCCCCAGATATTGAGTATGATGTCAGTGGTCTGTGTACCAGCCCCAGGTATTGAGTATGATGTCAGTGGTCTGTGTACTAGCCCCAGGTATTGAGTACGATGTCAGTGGTCTGTGTACTAGCCCCAGGTATTGAGTACGATGTCAGTGGTCTGTGATTATATCGTTATTATACTCTGGAACAGGAAGTCTGGGACATCATGCCATTGTTTCAAGGCTCCATTCATGTATTGAAGAACGGCATGATCCCAACAAACCTACTCTCATTATCACACTACAATTTTTTTTTAAACCAGTTTAATTGATTACTTACTATTTCTTGTTTGTTAAACATAACCTTATACATGTATTATGAAAAAGACGTGATGTTTCAAATTTTGCAGGTAATTATGGCCCAACTAGATATGAAATATTTCCAAAGTGTTTAGACTAGGGGTATGCTGTTCCCCATGTTATAAAAGTGAGGTTTAACACTGACTATTGGATGGGTGGTGTGGGAGAGGTCTAAACACCTCAAGTGAATGTATAGGAATTAAGAGAAAGATAAGTAGTTTTGTTTTACTTCAGGTAATTTGTGTTAGAAAAACTCATTCTGTGGGTCAATTGCTGTTTGATTGGGAAGAATAATATTAAGGGATCTGTGAATCTTCCCTTTTTTTCTGAATAACACTGTACTATTTGTGTTTTTGTTTTACAGTATTTTAGATTCAGTGTTGGAGGAATGACAGATGTGGCTGAAATTAAAGGTCACAGGTAAGAACTAAAAATTGATCTTTCTAGCTCACACCACCGTCTGGCTTATAATAATAATAATAATAATGATTTGAGGTTCTTATATACCGCTTTATCACAACCTAATTCGTAGGTCGTCTCAAAGCGGTTCACAAGTTATTATCCGTGGTTGTAGGGCCCTTGCAACCAGCCAACATGTTTCTCAACTCCCTGGGGAGCAAACAGCCAGTGCTGCCATTTCGGCGCTCACTGCTAGCATTCTACAATTCTAGCACTGCCCAACAACATACTCATTTACAGCTGAGTAGACTGGAACAAGCAGAGTAAAGTGACTTGCTCAAAGATACAACACAGTGCCGTGACTCGAACCCGCAATCCTTCGGTCACGAGCCGAGTGTCCTACGTGTACCACTAGACTACCGTGCCATGCCATGGCAATTGGCATAGCATATGTATGTCAACTTTTCCTATAAAAGACCACTTGTCTAGAGTGGTACATGGAGTTTTTATCTAAGGGAAGAATTATAAGACGCACTTCTTTGTGATTACAGGAGGACCTATGTTGGAGCCATGCCTGGAAAGATGATACAATGTCTGAAAACGACTAAGACAGAAAACCCCTTGGTGCTTATTGATGAGGTAATGTGCTTATAACACTAGCTGGATTAATGATCTGCTTTTATATACATTTTGTATGACTATCTGGTTAAAAAATAATTAATATAGATATACAACTCAAATTTGACAGTTTCACCAGTCTTTTATTAGAGAACAATATGATTATGTATGATTTTGAATATATATAAATGATATTACATATATGATTCAAAAAACTTAAAAAATATTTTAACCACTTGTCTCTGTAGAAAAGAGGAATACAACAGTGTAAATACAGATAATTCTGGCAAGGTTATTGGTTATCGTAGTGGGTTGAATACAGTGTTCTTTGAATTGCTTGGGTCATTTCATTGGTAGAGCTGTACATTTGTTCAGTTCAGTTATTTTATTTCTATGAGTCCTATAGCTGTCATCATTGAACTCTACAACTATTCTTAGGTGGTTGTGGTTTTGCTATTTGATTGTTTTTTGTAGGTGGATAAGTTGGGTAGGAGTTGGCAGGGTGACCCATCCTCTGCCTTACTAGAACTGCTGGACCCAGAACAGAATGCTAACTTCCTAGATCACTACCTAGATGTTACAGTGGACATGTCCAAGGTAGGTACAACATTAAATAATGAAGTTGCTGATCCTGGCCATTGATGTTGTTATAGGGACTGTTTCAGAGTAAGGGTAGGGGGCCCAACTCCTGTCTGATACATATTGTTTCGTCCGTCGTCGTCGGTTAACTTTTCCTTTAAACAACTTTAGAACTGCTGCAGAAGAAGTCGGAAACACTTCTGCGGCCTTCATATTAATAATTAGATCACAGTTAGTATGGATATCTGTCATATTCAAGCTGGGCTCATATTCCATCAGATTTTGTACATTATCGATAGTCTGTCTGGTGTATGACCCGGTAATTCTTGCCTTCCCTGTATTACAGATTTTGTACATCATCAATAGTCTGTCTGGTGTATGACCCGGTAATTCTTTCCTTCCCTGTATTACAGGTTTTGTTTATCTGCACGGGCAATGTGACAGACACGATTCCTGAGCCACTCAAAGACCGGATGGAGATGATAGATGTCTCCGGTTATGTGGCAGAAGAAAAACTGGCCATCGCACAGGTAACATTTGATCTCATTTGATACTTGGTCTTGATGTTATATGTGTCTCTCTGGAGAATTTTTCTTTAGCTCATTAGGTAGAGAGTAAGACTAGTAAACCAGAGGTCCAAGGTTTGACTCCTAGCGGAGGCCTTGAAAAAAAAATGACCTCTGTTACATTGGTGCCTGCGTAGGGACCAGGGTAATACAGTGGAACCCACTTATTATGATATCGGTTATTATGATATATATAATATTTTTCCCATGTACCGATTTTTTCCTTCTTCAACTAAGCAATGAACAAATTATTTCAATTATTACTTTATCAGTTTGTATTTATGTTTTTCCATGTCTCCACATCAGTCTATGTCTTATTAATATAAGGCATCTCACTTCCGGTTCAGACAACATAAAAACGATCGAAAACAGCTTGATCGGTTATTATGATATTTTTCTCTGGCAAATAGCATATCATAATAAGCGGGTTCCACTGTATTGACAAATATACTCAGTGATACTTTTACATGAATCGCTATGACTTCTGGAAAACTGAGGACAAATTCTTGCCTAGCTGCTTCCTACTGACTCTGCTAGGGAGAATTTCACTAGTAAGCCAGACCCAGGTTCCCTAGCGTAAGACTAGTAAACCAGACCCAGGTACCCTAGCGTTAGACTAGTAAACCAGACCCAGGTTCCCTAGCAGAAGACTTGAACAAAAATGATCTGTTGCATACAAAATGAAAATAAAATAAAATAGAAAGGCAAGATGAGGGAATAACACTTGTAGATTTACAGCATGTTTTCAATTTTCTCATTCAGTGTAGCTGACTCCATTGAATATTTTGAAGGTGTTCTAATAAAGTGTTGGTAATATTGTTATCATATATTTATTACTGCACCCCTACAGGTCGGAGATTGAGAAAAGAATTCACCATCTGTTACCCACTTAACCAGTTGTAAGAGCCAACTAACGTGAGAACCCTTGCAGAATTGAGGATTTACTTTGTGCTCTCAGGTTGGGGACAAAAGATTACCAAAGAAAGTCTGCTGTAAACATGGCAATATTTGGGTCCTATCTATTTTCGTTCTACTTCCAAACATTCGTTTCGTTTCAAAGTGCCTTGCTTGGCAATACCTAACTTTCGGCCTTAGTGTTGAACATTTGCCCAAGTGAGGAAACCAATGGCTTTTGTCCTCGGGCCAGGATATGCCAAAGGCCTTATAAATGATAGTGTTATTTCTTGTTAAACGTTCAGTATTTAAGGTCATCATAGCAAAAGGTTAACCTGGTGTGATTATAATATCACTGGGTGGAATACTGTCCCGGCTGCCTTTGGCATTGTATTCAGTGGGGTAGAGATCTAAGTTGGCATAAGATCTGTTCTATCACAAGGAGGCAAATACACCAACATACCATCTCTGGCACACACATACACACATGCACACTTATACAACACACATGGAGGCAGGTCCTTAATTAATGACCTTAGCTGTTCTTAGAACACAAAACCCAATAAAACCTAACCAATCTACTACTGATATATGTATCGACCATTTGATGATATCCATATTTTCATACTCTTATACTACCCCCTTATTGAGAAATTAGTCCTGTTATGATATAACGGTACCTGCATGATAAAACCGAGGTTTAGACACTAACTTGTTTTTGCTTGACAGACAACAGGACTAGTTGAATAGGTTATATACTAGTCCTTCGTCAATGTAACTAGTCCGTGATTTCCTGATAAGGAAACATCGCCATTTACAGCACGAAACATCAAAAGTAGGGGACAGTCCCTGGGACTTAAAATAACCACTGCCATAGAAATATGGTGAAGTTTTAGGAAAACTTGGACTGTTTTCATGCAATATATCTTATTTTAAGGAGTTTTCTAAATTTTAAAAAGGAGTATTCTTATTTCATATTCATATTTTTCACAAGTCCAAAGGACCAGTTAGGTAAGGTGATTCACTAGTCCTTGATGAAATCTACTAGTCTAGGACTAGCGGACTAGTGTTAGTGTCGACCCCTGAAAACCCCATTTGATAGTTGAAATAGTCTTGTATCCTTCTGTCAATTCAACAGAAGAAAACCTTACAGTGAACTGATGGAGAGATCAGCAACTATTATGTTGTCTGTCATATATACAACAAATTATTTAAAGAGGAACTGGACTGGGTTGATCATCGGCGACCAGATTGTTAAATTGGTAGAGCATCTGTCTAGAGTTCCTAGTGTCCTGGGTTCAAACCCCCGTCTGTCAGTTTATTTTCCACTCCTTTTTTATTGCGTGCCTGTGACCAACCCTTGTTTACATAGTTTGGTGAATGCTTGGCACGAGAATACTAGAACCTGGGTTGTAAATACTTGTATCTTAGGGGGCGAAGGAGGGAGGAATGTAGCAAAACTGGGCTGGCTCGATCGTTGGTAGAGCGTCCGTCATAAGAGTTTGGAATGCCCGGGTACAAACCCTGATCTGGTCGTGCATTTTTCTGCCCCTGTTACATATTTAGGTGTACTCATCAGCTTGTATTTACTTTCACACTACATAAAGTATTAGTAATGTTCACTCTGACACTCAGTACCAGTACACTAGAAGAGATGACTGTCCTTGGCTTCGCTGACCTTAAATAACCACATTTCTTCCGAGCTTCAGCAGCTGATATTCTGACCAGAATCTGATAAATAATCACTAATATTGACAGGTTTTAACTTTTTATGCCCACACACCCTTTAAGATTGTAATGTCAGCTGTCCAGGTAAAATATATCCTATTAAATGTACTTTGGGTTGTCCTGATCACCAATGCGTGTCATCACTGCTGCCTGGGAATTATTATGAAGAAACTATTTTGTTTGAAATATCAATTGTATGAAAAGGAGGAGGGCCTGTATGGCTGTTTTAAGCTCACCTAGTTCAAAGCACCAAGTCAGCTTATGCTGTGGTGCAGCATTCATAATGCAGCCATTATCTGTTGCCAACTTTTCCTCGAAGTCTACTAGTCTTGAATGCAGTCTTCAACTTTGCAGAAGATATTTTGACTAAATTTTTGTCTGAAGCATTGTTGGATCATAACGACTCTATTTTGTAAAAATGGAGGGTGTGCAGGGCCAAATAGGGTGAACAGGTCACTCAGTGTTTAATTTAAAAATAAAGGGTGTGGAATCCTAAGGGCAAGAGGGGTGAGCTTAAATGGGAATCTAGGACATTTTTACTGCAAGCTACTACTCCTAAACAGCTGCATGGAATGTAACCGTATTTGATTTGAAATATCACAAAGGCAACATGATCATATTTTGTATTAAAGGAAGCTGATTTGACTCTTGGAGCTGGAAGAATTGGGCCCCAGTAAAAAAAAATGATTGTACATCTGCCTTATTCAAAATGCTTGAGAAACCCATTATATTACCTCATATATATACAAATTGAATATTAAGGGATGAAAATATACATCTAGGCTATCTTTATTGCCTCCAGGGTCATAGGTCTGGGTCATAACATGGAAACAATTAGGATTCCCACCCCATTTCAATATATACATTTGCTTAGCTTGCAGAAATACAATGAGACTACCAGGGTTTGCCTCAGTGTACAACACCTCCCATGGGGACTTAGTCCCCGGGTCATAGAATTGAAATGGTTGAGATCCCCAACCTGTGATCATATATATTATTGCCTGGCATAAAGACCCAAACATAATTAGCCTGAGGTCTGCCCTTCCTCCTTGAGACTGAGACTCTGTTCTTAAAATGGAAACAAATGAGATCCCCACCCTATAACTAGATATGAAACTGATTGGCTTGAAGATACAGAATTGTGGTTGACCTTTTCTCACAGGAATTAGTTCCTAGTTTATAAAATGGAAAAGATGCCGTCCCTATGCTCTGGATATGAAGAGACAAACACATTAATGTCACCAGGATTAATGTCCCTAGTGTGCCACTAGCACTTGTTTGTCTGTAAACACCATTGGAAAAAAGAAGACCAAAAATTCAACAATATGGTCAGACACTCAGTACTCGGTCAAATACTATAGCTGCTAGCAATGCAACTGGTTCAATAAAATGTCTATATTTGGCAAACTGACTGGTTGTATTTATTTTTGGCCTCAAAGCAATTACAGTGTCTGCTGGCAGCCAATGCTAGTCACTCAAATAATGTTTTCATCAGTTTCACCAGGCAGAGTTGATAAAAAGTCTGTATGGCTGAAAATATTTCTAGATTTGTTCATCACTTCATTTGAAATAATAAATAGCAGTCTTCAAAATGTCTTGCAGTTCTGCTGATACAGAATTCAACATCAAAATAAAAACTTCGTGTGTATAATGGCTTCCTGCCTTAAATACCGACCTGTCAATTAAGACCACCTCCATATAGAGGAACAAAGTCAGGAGAGATTTAATGCAAATGTTGAAGACATTGTTTTTGGTTGAGGGATGTTGTGTTTACCAGTTTGTAATTACAGCTGCAGGGTCCCCAATAGAACACATTTTATTGTATGCTGGTATTATAGGCCGTGTCTGTCTCTGTTTCCCCTGACGAGCTGCTTACTCCCACACTTGCCTGCCCACTGAGGTACAAACTGTGGAACACTCCAGCAGTAATCAATACCTCATCCTTCACAATGCTATCAGAAAACATGAGGGTGATTTTGGTAGAATTTCACACTTTCTACAAACTACTTTCATGTTATGTTCAGCACATATTTATTTTTAGAAGCAAATTTTTTAACATCGATTTTACCAAGAAAATGAGTTTTTTGTTATAAATTTAATTTGGATAAAGTTAGGCTGTTGGGTGTAAGCTTTTATATAGCAAATCATATGTAAAACAGAGCTTAGGGCATATATGACAGTAAATGCAATAGTTCAGTATCCAAAAACGATGATGACTGAAGCGAGTCTGAAGTATCCACTCTAGCTTGTCTTCAACGCCTGGAGTTAAGTGCTATGTGCTTTTCAAGTACTTCTAGTCCAAATAGGCAATGCTAAACAAAGTAAGTGCTATGTTTGTTCTAGTACCTCTAGTCCAAATAGGCAATGCTAAACAAAGTAAGTGCTATGTTTGTTCCAGTACCCGTAGATTAATTAGGCAATGCTAAACAAAGTAAGTGCTATGTTTGTTCCAGTACCTCAGTCAAAATAGGCAATGCTAAACAAAGTAAGTGCTATGTTTGTTCCAGTACCTCTAGTCCAAATAGGCAATGCTAAACAAAATAAGTACTATGTTTATTCCAGTACCTCTAGTCCAAATAGGCAATGTTAAACAAAGTAAGTGCTATGTTTATTCCAGTACCCGTTGTCCAAATAGGCAATGCTAAACAAAGTAAATGCTATGTTTGTTCCAGTACCCATAGTCCAAACAGGCATTGCTAAACAAAGTAAGTGCTATGTTTATTCCAGTACCCGTTGTCCAAATAGGCAATGCTAAACAAAATAAGTACTATGTTTATTCCAGTACCTCTAGTCCAAATAGGCAATGCTAAACAAAGTAAGTGCTATGTTTGTTCCAGTGCCCCTAGTCCAAAAAGGCAATGCTAAACAAAGTAAGTGCTATGTTTGTTCCAGTGCCCCTAGACCAAAAAGGCAATACTAAAAAAAGTAAGTGCTATGTTTATTCCAGTACCCGTTGTCAAAATAGGCAATGCTAAACACAGTAAGTGCTATGTTTGCTCCAGTACCCATAGTCCAAATAGGCAATGCTAAACAAACTAAGTGCTATGTTTGTTCCAGTGCCCCTAGACCAAAAAGGCAATACTAAAAAAAGTAAGTGCTATGTTTCTTCCCGTACCCATAGTCCAAATAGGCAATGCTAAACAAAGTAAGTGCTATGTTTGTTCAAGTACCTCTAGTCCAAATAGGCAATGCTAAACAAAATAAGTACTATGTTTATTCCAGTACCTCTAGTCCAAATAGGCAATGCTAAACAAACTAAGTGCTATGTTTGTTCCAGTACCTCTAGTCCAAATAGGCAGTGCTAAGCAAAATAAGTACTATGTTTATTCCAGTACCTCTAGTCTAAATAGGCAATGCTAAACAAAGAAAGTGCTATGTTTGTTCAAGTACCTCTAGTCCAAACAGGCAATGCTAAACAAAATAAGTACTATGTTTATTCCAGTACCTCTAGTCCAAATAGGCAATGCTAAACAAAGTAAGTGCTATGTTTGTTCCAGTGCCCCTAGACTAATTAGGCAGTCATATCAAATAATGGTTGGGGTTTATGCGAAAAGTCCAAGATTCCAGTTTCTAATCAATTGTGGACTTGTGGAGACACTCTCTGTCAGTGGAGATTCAGGGAGAAGTGTGTGGGTGGTGACTACATGTAGTCAGGAGTGAGCGTCGTGGCTGGCCAACGACAAACAGCGATAGAGTTAGGTCTCCAGGCATTTCTCCTGCTATGTGGGAGTCTTATGTTAAATGTATGCTAAGCACCTTCTCTTTGTGTCGAAAATATGATATTTCTTTGTCGTCCTTCTATAAAAAAAACATATAAATCGGTAAGGTGCTTAACAATATATTCTATCATTGATTTTGTGGGTGGCAGGAGACTGGCTGGATCTTGTGTTAATGTCATTCTGATGACGGGAATAGTATCTACTTCATTTTCAACACAATAGCAGAAAATAAAAATTGGTCATATGTATTAAAGTCTACTTGTATCAAATTGGGGACATGCTCTTGTGACTCATAGAAATATGCTATGTGGGTTTATCACATTGCACCCAACACATGATTGTTGATAGGAACGTATATGGAACCCATCAGGTGCCTTATGGATGGATATTCCTTCTAGACCTTTTACTCCCTCGGGCAAGATGTGCAAATCTCAACCAGAGGGGCAAGACACTCAAACTGTCCAGCAAGAGGCTTGGTGATGGTTTGACTATTTTATTTTTATTTACTGATGGTTTAGGTTAGCCTGTCTTGCCCACAAGAGGGTGAAAGCATTTTTTTCACCCACACTTCAGCTTTTGCTAGGGAAAATATATATCTGTCTTTACCCACCTAGGTAAAGACAGCTAACAATCGCTTTTATTTTGAAAACGTCGCCATGGCATCATCACTTTATGCGGAAAAATCAGGATAATGTCATACAATTTTGTCACACATTTCATGTGATGATGGGGTGGTGAATTGAGTGCACTGTTAACATTTAGTTTTATTGTAGTACATGTATACAATAGCGTGGGAGAAAAATCATCAATCAGTCCTGTATATGACACAGACAGAAAAGTCTCTACCCTTGGGGAAAGATATTTGACCGTTCAGCACTCGGCTAATCCTCATGCTAAACTTAAAAAATCTTAACCTCGGGTTGAAATTTCTCTGTCTATCACACAGACATGATAGATTCTGGCTAACCTCCAAAGTAGGGACACATTCTATAATATGTCATTAAGACAGGTTTAGGATAAATATGATAAACATAATTCTAGTGCTTCGTGGACGTCACTTTAACAATGCATATGATGACATAAGTGGCATTATGATATTGAAATTGACAAGTCAGTGGAGCCCCACAGATTGTCTCCTTCACTTGATAATAAACAAATGTATCTAAATCATAGGAGGCAGTATTGATAGGAGATATGGATGATGCACTATTACACTCACAATTAAAGGCTGAGGAACAAGTTTAAAATATCAATTCGTAGGTGGAATAGACTTAAAACATATCACTAGACAAGAAAGAATTTCCTGTCACTATCTTTTTACTAAACAAATGGCTTTGATTGGTGGAACAATCTGAATCACATAAATGTTTGATATAAATACATTGTAATACTTCAGTGACCATACTGTGACAGAAATGTTTGATATAGATAAATTGTAATGCTGTGATTAGCCATACCATCACAAAAAGGTTTTATATAGATAGATACAATATGAAGCAATGCTGTGATTGGCCATACCATCACAGAAATGTTTGATATGAATACATTGCAATGCTGTGATTGGCCTGAATACATTGCAATGCTGTGATTTGCCTGAATACATTAAGATGCTGTGATTGACCTGGATACATTGTAATGCTGTGATTGGCCTGGATACATTGCAATGCTGTGATTGGCCATGCATACCATCACACAAATGTTTGATATGAGTACATTGCAATGCTGTGATTGGCCTGAATACATTGCAATGCTGTGATTGGCCATACCATCACAGAAATGATCGATATGAATACATTGCAATGATGCAATAAGCTTGTCTGAGACCTGTGTAACCTTAGAATGTTTGTTACATGTTTTGTTTGGTGCAGACAACATTTAACTAAACACAAAGTCATGTCCTGTAAATGGGACCAATCCATTTGAGGCACAACAGGAATTCTAAACAATAGAGAAAATTTTCCTGATTTATTTTAGAATATTTTGTATAAATGTAACAATTTACTTGACTTGTATTTTTGGAGAAGGTTACAAATCCAAATGCAGTCACTAATAGCTAGTGAATGACGTAAGAATTTGCAATGCATTAAAAAGCTTAAAGCTATAAATAAAAAATGACGAGTGATCATTCCAAAATGCTGGAGGCTATTGAAAGGATGTTTTCAAATTTTATGAAGACGATGTCCTGAGATTGTATTCTTCCATCACTCTGACAATGATGTACTGCCGATGATTGGTATGCTTCAGACTTGTAAGACATGCTTTAATGTACAATGTTTACTCTCAGAACTATGTGAATGTTTGTCCTACAGAAATACTTGGTACCACAGACCCAGAAACAGACGGGAGTGACCAAAGAAAAAGTCAACATCACCGACGATGCAATGACAACACTGATAAAGTCTTACTGTAGGGAAAGCGGTGTTCGAAACCTTCAAAAGCAGATAGAGAAGGTATCTTTCATAGTTTATCTTACCCATGCTGTATTTAAAATGTTATTGTGATAAATCACTTTAGACTTTTTCTATTTGATTGAAATTTTTGTGTTTCCTCAAGTTATATTGTTTTATATGACGTGCTGAAACAGTTTAAAGTATATCCTGACATCTTATAAAGAGAAATCACCCAGGTTTTATCTATGTGTAGATATACAGAAAAGCTGCCCTAAAGATTATCACAGAGTCCACTGAACACCTAGAAGTTGACACAGACTCGTTGAAGGACTATGCTGGCAAACCACTATTCACCTCAGACAGAATGTATGAATTCAACCCCCCGGGAGTTGTTACAGGCCTAGCGTGGACAGCGATGGGTAAGTTTTAGGCTTGTCAAGCTGGTCCAATTTTAGTAACGAGTTACTCGAAAAATCTTCCGACCCCTTAACCGGTAAATTTGTCAGGTTGTTGTACAAGTAATGAATAACAACAGCAAAAGCAGTCCATGTATGGCAAATGTAATATTCCAAACATATTTACATTACCCGTACTGGTAATTCTTATCGAATATTCACTGGAAACTATCACAAGGAGCGCGAGGAGTCATAACTTGCACAATTGTATTTTTGCGAAAAGGCTGATCCTGATGCAAACTGGTTTGATGGAAGGAAAACTCATCAAAACTCCCTCCTCTGCCATTTAAGCACAAAATAAAAGTATTTGTCAATCCCGGCCACGTCCGTACCATCAGAAAGGATCTTTTATACAACAGGACTTGTAGTCAACAAACTCTGTAACAGGCTATCACTGTCCGTGACCGCTGTCGATCAAATTGTTTTTCTGAACAAAATGATTTCTCTGACTTTACCTAGTCTTGCTTTCCACTTAATTCATATGTTTGTGAAATAACAGCACAGACAATGAATTCTGTAACTTCCCATGTCAGATTGTTTGGCCATTGAGTACAGATCATACACTGTGTTCTGGAGTAACTTGTAGGTGCCACTACAGCAACCCACACACTACAGGGTACATGACTGAACAAGAAATAGGTTTGTCTAGGCACATGTATGTCATTACTTTAGATAACTTACTAAGGGCGTTGAACAAGTATTTTGAAAACTTAGTAGCTTGTAATAGACTTGTGTTTGAAATGACTGTTTCTATTTCAGGAGGGTCAACTCTGTTTATTGAGACGGTGCTGAAGAGGCCGCTTGACAGCCCTATTAGTGGTGACAAGCCTGAGGTTGGCAGCATAGAGGTGACTGGTAACCTAGGCAAGGTCATGAAGGAGAGCATACAACTGGCCTACACCTTCGCCAAGGCTTTTATGGTTTCTGAGCTCTCTGGCAATGACTTCCTTCAAAAAGGTCTAGTCCACCTGCATTTACCCGAGGTAAGTGTATGGTACATTTCTTAATGTCTATTTTACCAGTGAGTGCATGGTACACCTGTGCAAATTGTATATACCTGAGGTAAGTATCGGAAACACCTGTTCAAAGTCTAATTACCAGAAATCATTTCCGTTTAGTTAATCATGACCTAATCGATAAAGGATATTTGGTTCTTGCCTTTGTGATAGAGATAATCATGTTTATAAGGAAATGTTTTATGAATTGATGCAATAGCTTGGGTATATACTGCGTAGGTGTTTATATATCTGACTGTATATCTAAATTATCACAGTTTATGGATATTTTCTGCCCCAAGGTTGTTTCTTACAAACTGAATGGGAGATTATAATGGAATCAACATTTGTGTGGGTGTTTGTTCCTAACAATAAACAACTTGATGCCTAGGAGTTTTACCTGATGTATGACTGTTAATATGTACAATGAAGGGGACTTGATGCCCAGGAGGTTTACCTGATGTATGACTGGTAATATGTACAATGAAGGGGACTTGATGCCCAGGAGGTTTACCTGATGTATGACTGTTAATATGTACAATGAAGGGGACTTGATGCCCAGGAGATTTACCTGATGTATGACTGGTAATATGTACAATGAAGGGGACTTGATGCCTAGGAGGTTTACCTGTTGTATGACTGGTAATATGTACAATGAAGGGGACTTTAAGTGTCCAACATCTTACCACTTCTTCAGATTTATGCATACAACGTTTTTAAATCATTCCCATGCCTTTGCAACAAATGTCCCTTGTGAGATTTTGTAAAAATATTATGACATTAGTTAGAATTCAATTAAATGTAATTAAATGTGAACTTTGACTTTTCATTTGTCAAGGCAAAAACTATCATTTTGTTAATGATTTTGTTTGAAAGGTGTCTTGCATAGCAGCTGTTTAATATATACATGTATGCATGTAAATATCTTGACATCTGAATAATTCATATTGAGACATACTTAATATTGCATTCATGTAGAATGGATGATTAAGCTGTACAAACCATGGTTTATTTAATGGTTAAAAATGACATTAACCAAAAAATGCACTTTTATTTAAACAGTTGCAAGTTAATTTTATGGCTTCAAGTTACAAAAACCAATGATTCATTTATGGTTCCAAGTTCCAAAATTCATATTTTATATAATGGTTACAAATGGCATGAACCAAACAAATGCAAGTTTAATTAAACAATTACAAGTTCATTAAATGACTATTGTTAATTTAATGACTTCAAGTTACAATTTAATTACTATTGTTAATTTAATGGCTTCAAGCTACAATTTGATGACTATTGTTAATTTAATGGCTTCAAGTTACAATTTAATAACTTTTGTTGATTTATGGTTTTAAGTTACATAAACCATGACTAATCTAATGGCTTCAAGATACATAAACCATGCTTAATTTAATTGCTTCAAGATACATAAACCATGGTTAATTTAATGGTTACAAGTTACTTAAACCATGTTTCATTTAATGGTCACAAGCTTTGTAAACTGTGGTTAATGGTTACAAGTGGTATAAAGCGTGGTTTATTGCATGATTACATGTTGCGTTTGGTACAGGGTGCAGTACCCAAGGATGGTCCCAGTGCAGGATGTACCATTGTGACTGCACTGCTGTCGCTGGCTCAGGGAAAACCAGTCAGACATAACCTGGCCATGACAGGAGAGATCTCCTTGACTGGGAAAGTCTTACCCGTGGGAGGCATTAAGGAAAAGACAATAGCGGTAAGTCTTATAGCTATATTAAACTGGGAATACACTATTGGCTGGACCAATCCGTTGATACATGTAATACCAGATATAAACTTGTCTACGACAATGATATTACTGAGACTTTTTTGTACTAAAAAAATGGTATCTAGATTTCAAAATATTGATGAAATTATTATCTGGTATTACATCTGAGCATCATCTTGTAGGATGAGGGAGGTTTGGGTGAATGGCATGTATTTAACAGCTAAAAACTGGGGAGGGAGTTGACAAAAGCAGGAGATTTGATCTATCAGGGAAACTTGATGATATAGTGTCGAAGCTGAGAGAAGTAGAGTATTGGCTTTGAATCTTCATTTTTTCCTTGTTGTTTTAATTTTATCTTTGATTCTACATTTTAACCTTGATTCCACATTTTAATCTGGATTTTACCTTTTTATCTTGAGATCACATTTTCATATTGACACCACATTTTTTAACCTTGTCACATCCATTAAACTGTCCATAAGAAAAGGAAGAGTAAAAAAAAGTTAAAAATAAGAATCAATACTTGACCGACTGATCACATATTCCATCACACAAATTCTGTGGTTGCTATGAGGTTTTATCCTTAGGTCACAACGTGTCTGTCATGCCTGAACGTGATAGTCATTGCCCCTGTTCAGTTGTTGACATTAGTGATCAGTATTTGCCCCTGTCAATGTTTTAAGTAGACCAGACTCCAGACATGATTGGCCTAATTTGTCATGAAGCTGTTCGGAGATGAGGATGAAGGATGATATATCCATAAAAATTCCTCTTTTCGGATCACTTCAGTGATCCGCTGTCAGTACAAAGACCCCTTTATATTCATATTGGACTAAGTAGGACGTGATCTGGTTGAACAAGTCGTTATCACTACCTATATCCTACGGGATGACACAGCCGTGGATAATAGCTTTAGAGAATGACCCGACCCTGATAATAGGTGTCCTCATTATAGCTGTCTTCGTTGCCAGATATGACATCGACGATTCCAACTCGTTTTCTGGTAATTGCTACTGCTATGTATAAGGTGGAACGTAATTCATGGTTGAAGACAACAGAATATGTGGTTTCTTAAAACCAAGCCAAAAGTGAGTTAATAATAGTAACGGTTTATTTCCATTTAGTGTATAATAGAAAAGAGAACAAAAACTTGCCTGATTGAAATTTGAACTTGATATCATCTAAACACTAGGTGGACCTTCTACCAACAGAATGAGCTGGCCAGAACATTGTTTGAAACAGTTCTAGACTAGATGTCGAACTTTCTTAGGATAAATTATCATATTTCAAAACTTATTTAGAGTAAATTGACTGATACTTAACTGTCAGTATTTCATTTTTTTCCATTTTTTTTTTTAATTCAACACAAACACATTTTTGACAGGTACTGTGAATAGATTGATGTCTCCCCATGTGTTAGTGTTTGGAGACTTGCTATTTCTGTGCTGTCCATTTGTCTGTCTGGTCGTCCGTCCAACCGTCAGTCCGTCCGTCTGTCATGCTTTAGTTTCCTTCTTTTGAAGCTTTCATACCAATATTTGGTACATGAGTTGCTGACAAGGAGGGGAGATTCTATGGATTGCTTTTGTTCTTATTAGGTCAAAGGTCACATGACTTTTGTTCTAAATAGAATACAGGTTTCTAGATTTTAACTGTCATTCTTTGTATTTGGTTAGCAGGTGTTGTATGAGGTAGGGGTGCTTCAGGTTGGTTTTCAGGTCAGTAGGTCAAAGGCCACATGGTTTGTTACTGTATGGGTGGGCTATAAACCGAATGTGGGCTTGTTGTTGAATTTATACAGTAAGTTCATCAAACGTTGGCTTTGTATTTCAATGAAATAATTGAAGAAGGTGACTGTTTCACTGTAGTCACAAACAAAGTAGGTTACAGAATACGAAACATTGTCCTTTGTAGAAACCTTTGAATGTGGTCACTTCCAGGTTTTGACAGCTGAAAAGAAACAGAAAAACAAATTGAAAGTTATCTGTCAATGTTATATTTTCCTATGAAAATCGATATTAAGCATTTAAACATTTCAGGTAGGGTGGGATAGACTGACACCTTCCTGTTATGGCAGAAAATAAGAATATCTACTTCTCCCTTCCTATATATCTAGAATTCTTTTGGCCATGATAGGCGATCCAGCTGTATTAGTAACATCACAGTCGCACTCCGTGAATTTATCGAAAACTATTTAAAATACTTCCCTTTTCACTTCTTCGTCAACTAATGCCATAGACTGTATTGATTTCCATATTTTACTCTTTCTAGGAGAAAATTAAAAGAGACATTCATGTTATTTTGCAGAGTTAACTTAAGGTTTCGTTCTAGTATTCTCCTGGCAGGAAGTCAAGGCCTCTAACTCCTTATCATACATGTTAATAAATTGGTTTTCACATCAAAAGTCTAATTTTAGAGGATCAATAGTTTGTGCATGGTAACAGGTCTTTTTATCTCGGAGTGATTTCCTTTTTAGGGATTTACTTGATGTGTCTAGGTTTGAACCAGCAGGAGACTGGAATAGGTTTTGTGTTCGTATAAACATGTTTGCAGTTTTGACAGGAAATTCTTTGAATCAATTTTTCTGATAAAAGCTGTGAGTGGTGAGGCAGTTTCTCAAATATAATCTATATTTCATGCCTCTGTGCAATCAAGTTTACGAAATCCTTCAAAGGAAAAAAAATACTTTTCATTTTCTTGAATGATATATAGCCAGTTTTCACGTAAGATAAAATCAATATGTTACTAATCAAAATCTTTTAATCTTTCAGTAGGTGGTATACAATTCAAAATTTGAATTTACTGCTAACCAAAAAATATTGCATCATGCAGGATGTGTTCCTAGGTACTCTCTGCTTATTTAATAAATGCATCTGTTCCCTTAGACAAGATGCCAGCTCTGAACATTTAGTATGTTCATCAAAGATCGAATGTTTTATATTTTCATGTTGGCAGCCAGGGGCGCAGAATTCCCTAATTATCTTGAGTAATTATGAATGGATTAATTTTATAAGGTCTATGAGTGGATTAAACTTTATAGGTTAATTACCATAGCGACTTAGATAATTAGATAACCACTATTGACCGACCATGATTGTTAGAGGTATGACCCTTTATGGATTTGGTCAACATGCAATATCCACTCAATATCTTGAGTGATTATAAATGTATTAACTTGATAAGAATTTTAAGTAGATTAAACTTTATAAGTTAATTATCATAGCGGCTTAGATAATTAGATAACCACTATTGACCGACCATGATTGTTAGAGGTATGACCCTTTATGGATTTGGTCAACATGCAATATCCACTCAATATCTTGAGTGATTATAAATGGATTAACTTGATAAGAATTATAAGTGGATTAAACTTTATAAGTTAATTATCATAGCGGCTTAGATAATTAGATAACCACTATTGACTGACCATGATTGTTAGAGGTATGACCCTTTATTGATTTGGTCAACATGCAATATCCACTCAATATCTTGAGTGATTATAAATGGATTAACTTGATAAGAATTATAAGTGGATTAAACTTTATATGTTAATTACCATAGCAGCTAAGATAATTAGATAACCACTATTGACCGACCATGATTGTTAGAGTTATGACCCTTTATGGATTTGCAACATGCAATATCTTGAGTAACTATCAATGGACAAATTCAAACTTTATGAGAAGGTTAATAACTTTGAAAGTGCAGACAAGTTGAATAACAACTTTTAATGGACTGTGATTTTGGAATTATGGCTCCTCAGGGACTTACAGTACAGTTTCTTCTCCATATTTTGAGTATAATTGTATTGATGAATTAATGGCAAACTTCTTAAGATTCTATGATCTTAATGATTTCAAACTTACATGTACTTCACTTTATTACCACGTTTGATACTACAAAAACTTGGGAATGTCTGATAAACATTATCATTCTACTGCAAGTTAGTTTTGGGACAGTTATTGCTCAGTGTCATATTTCTTCCACTTGTTTCCAGGGATGGGGATCCTGTAACTCTTCTCGAAAAACTTTTTGGGCAGAAATAACGAAAATATATATGCATGTTTGAGAATGGAAGGCGATGTGCAAATGACTTTTTGTTATTCAATTAATCATCCAACATTGCCACAACAGCCTCTGATTGGTCAAAATTTTGATTTTTAGGTCACCGGAGACAAAGTCTCAAGTGACCTATTGCGATCGCCTTTTGTCCGTCGTCCGTCGTGCGTCCGTAAACAATTTACATTTTCGACTTCTTCTCCAAAACCCCTCAACCAATTTCAATGAAATTTTACAGGGACCTTCCATGGACAAAGGTCAACAAAAATAGTTGCCGGTTTAGTCCTAAGCCCCCAGGGGCCTGAGGGGCGGGGCCAAAAAGGGT